TGCAGATGTGTTTGTGACTCCTCCTGGCTGGCCCTGGACCTCAGTATTCCCTTAATCCTCTGCCATCCAGGGGGGCTCTTCTCTCCCCCCCAGCCTGTCCTGCTTCCCGTGCTGCATCCTCATGTGCCAGAGCTTGGAGAGCTGCCCAAGCGGCTCATTAGCAGTGCTCATTTCCCTGTGTCCAAGATTAATGAGGCACAGCCACTCCAGATGCTCCTCTCAGACCAGGATGGAAATGTGAGTCCCAGGAACTGCTCTGGGAGGGGAGGGGGCTGCTCCAGGCTGGGGGTCTGGCAGGGATTTTTCATCCCATCCCTGCTGGGAGCTGGGTGCACCCAGTGAGAAGAGGGAAAGGAGGAGAGTCATGAAGACAGAGCCCAACTTCCAGAGTGATCCTCACCTCTGGGCCAAGCACATCCCAGGACTCCTTCTGAGGTTATTTTGTAGGGAAAATCTCCCTATTTGCCTCTCTGCCTTCCAGGCTGCATCTCCCCCTTCCAGAGAAGTAAATTTTGGTCTGGGGATGCTGCCCCAACCCCTGCCACTAATTAATGAGAAGGGCTAATTATGTTTGTGCCACTGGCAGGATTTTCCTTGGGGAAACTTCCCAAGCATTGATTCCTGTTCAGATGGGAAAACCACAGTTTGTTTTGTTAATTACAGCTGGCATTCCCAGTGGGCATCCAAACTATCCCAAACACTGCATCCTCTGCAGTGCTGGTGTGTCCTGAGAATGCTGCTCCATTCCTGCTCCTCAGTTCTCCCAGAATGTGTCTGGGATGGTTCCACAGCAGTGCCAGTGTTTCCAGCACACTGGCTGTGAAATGTGGGCCTTGAAGTACCCAAATTTGTGCAGAAATCCTAAGGACACAAAAAGACTTTGGAAAAGCTGTTTGGTGGGGAATGCTGTCCTGGTACTGCCAGGAGACAGAGGGAATAGTGCAGGCAGGGAAGAACTCCCATTTGGCACAGAATTCCCTGTGAAAGCACCATCCCTCTGACTGCTGCTTCCAGATCCCACTGGAAGCATGAGCAGACAGCCTAATTCACTATTAGAAATCCAATTCATTTTGGGTTTTTTTAATGTCTTTTAGGATGAGGTTTTTCATCCACCTCCAAAATTCCAATGTGGACAGATAGCCTGTCCTCTTCCTTCTATATAAATCGTGTCTGTGAAGTTGGCTCCTTTCCTAGGCACCCAAATTCTGTGTGCTTCCTCAGAGTCATGCAGCCAGTCCTCCAGAGCTAAAAATGCAGGAAGAGGGCACCAAATTGGAGCTATTTTGGAGTTGAGGTCACTTTAATTTACTTGGCCAGGCTGGAGATCTGCCAAAAGCCAAACCAGAATGGCAGGAGCACTGATTGCAACCCAACCCGCTTCCTGAAGAATCCAGAGAGGGTGAGGATGGAAACCAGGGAGCTTTCCTATTTGATCTAAGCAGGGAATAAATTTCTTCCTGTCCTAAATACTCACATGTCCTTTTTAACAGCAGAATTAAGGAGGCTGTGTGGGGTAAACTTGGGGATACCAAAGCCGTGAGCATCCCAGGGAATTTGCTCCTTGTCTGTGACATGGATCTATCTGGATGAGTGATGGGAGGCCACTGGGATCTCACCTGTGTCTCAGCCTGATCCCAGTGGAGTGGGAGAGCTCTGTTGGACCAGCAGGTCTTGGATGTCTCTGTTTTTGAGTACACACAGGCAGTTTCCATCCTGCAGAGCTGCAGGAATTCCTGCTGCACCACTGGAGGATCTGCCACAAGGGAATGGCAAGGGCTGCCTGGGGTCAGTGCTTCCCTCAAGGGGAAAGGGAAGGAAGAATGGAAGGCAGACAGGGAATCCTGGTTCAGGTTCTGGATGAGTGCTCCAGCTCTGCCCTCCCTGGTGGTATCACCAGCTCCTTGCAGTGTCTCCTTCCATATTTTCATTAAATTCATGGATGTGTGTGTGACCCTGATGGGGTCTTCCCTGATGGGAATCATCACAAACATTTTAGGAGGGATATTTGTGGATCCATGCAGAGCCTGCTTGTGCTGTTTCCACATGAGAGCAGGATGAACCCAAAGTAGTTTGGGAAATCTCTTCCTCCAGCTGCCTTTTCCACCCAAATCTGGAGCTGGGACAGCTCAGGTGACGCCCACAATCCTCTGCTGGAGCACTCAGTGCAGCCTCCATGCCTGGCTGCATGTGAGCCCAGGTGGGAGCTGGGATGTGACTGGGATCTGGGAAGCAGCGTGGGAGAGTCGGAGCTGGGAAGGAGACTGGCAGGAAATGGGAGTGAGTAAATCAGCCCAGCTCGCCTGAGTTGTGACTAAAGGGGGAGCGTGAGACATCTGCAAATATTAGAGATGTGTAAACACGGAGCAGGGAGAGGGAATGGTGGAGGGAATGATTGAAGGGAGTGAACTTTTGGATGGAAAAATGTAGGTCAAGTATGAAGGAAAACTTGTAGGCAGCGAGATAAGTGCTGTAAAACAACCTCCTTGGGAAACACGAGGAAGTCCCACTGATGGAGATGCTTATCCTAAGGCAGATGAGGGATGGAAAAGAGGCTGAGCTGGAGGGATGGATTTAGGGTGTCCATCCCAGATGGGGCTGGGTGCAACAGTGATGTCCATCCAGCTCTTTGTGTGTTCATAATTCCCCTTTAAACTGCAGGCTGGTTGTGGTTCAATTAATCCATCCAGATTTTAATCCTGAAAACTCGTGGCTTTGGGGGGAATTCACCCACCTGACATCAGCCAGTTCAAATTCAAGCAGGTCATCCACACCAGCTGTCCAAAATCCTGGATGGTCACCAGGGGAGGGAGAAGCTCATCCAGCTACTCGCTGCTGGACACTCCAAGGGCTGGGCTGTTGTCAGGACAGCCTCTCTTTGTTGCTCAAAGGCACCCCAAATAATTAAGGTAATTAATAAAGCCTCTGTCTGTTTTGCTCCACATTACGCTGGAGTGTGTCTGGAGCATGTGGGAATAACAGCATCATGTTCAGGCAGGGATTGGAATAAGGGTATGGCCTGTCTGAATACATGCTGGGCAGTCAGTCTGTGCTTTGGAGCCCACTGTACACCCTCTGGGCACGTGCTGCAGTGGGGGTTGTGGCCCCTCCAGAGCATGGCCTCTTCCTCCTCGCTTCTAGGGAATCAGCTCAGGCAGATCATGCAGTCATAGCATGGTTTGGGTTGGAAGGGACCTTAAACCCATCCTGTCCCACCTCCTGCCACAGGCAGGGACACCTCCCACTATCCCAGCGTGCTCCAAACCTCATCCAGCCTGGCCCTGGACACTTTCATGTTCAGGGATGCAGATTCAGACTTGGAAACTCTCCTGTTTGTGTCCTCACACTCTGCAGTCATTCCCTCCTCTGGAGCCATTCCACTGTGTCTCAGTAATTAACATCCAACAGGACAAGGAGAACAAGCACCTGCATTCCCACATCCCAGGGGCCAGCCCTGCCCACAGTGCTGGGGACTGCTCCAAAATGTTCACTCCATATATTGTGTCCTGGTGCCCATTAAACTTTTTGGGATGAAAGTTTCACCAAAGCTAACACAATTCTGTGAAAAATTCTGCCTTTCATGATTTGGCATTTTACAGGAAAAAAAAAAAAAACAAACTAAAATAACTTGCCAAGAATTTCCCAACCAGCTTTAATCCTGACACCACCGTGGGCCAAAGAAACAATGATAAGAATCTATGAAAAACATGGGGAAACAAAGAAGTGATGGGTTTAAAGCCTCAAGAAAATGAAAATGCAGCTGGAAGGCCGAGCAGGGGGTTTCTCTGAGCATGCAGAGGAGGGAAACTCATTCCCTTTGAATCACAGGGAGCCCTTTCTAGCTGGTTTCAAAGGAAGCTGGATGTGGCCATGGAATGACCATGGTGCTGTTACTCGTGCCCTCATGAGTTCATGGATGAGCTGGAAGTGCCGCGGGTCTCTTGCAGCCTGAGGAATGATGCACACCAGGAGAAATGGGAGCTCTCCCTCGCTGTCTGCTACAGCCAGTGGAGAAAAACAACTTCCCCCATGCCTGATGCTGGGGAAATAAGGGAAATTTGGGAATATGGTTGAAACTGAGCCAGCTGGGCTATGCCCAGCTGTCTACTTTGGGCACAAGCACACGGAGGCTGGAAGGGAAGAGGGGAACCCAGTACTGGACAGGCGGGACAGGCAGGGAATGTAGCACAGCCTTGCAGTCACAGCTGAACTCCCAGGGTGCTCTTCCTTCTGGAAATGTTGCCAAGCACAGCTTGAAGTATCAGGCAGGTGAACAGAGCACATGGAGACACCTTGTACTACTACTGGTACATTCCAGTGCCAGAACATCCATGGAAAATAAACAAGTTTCCTCCTTGAGCCAAAAGAAATGGCACAGCAGAAGTTCCAGATGTCAAGGAATCGGGAACCTCTCCCAGGACCTGGTGGGGAAGGTGAGGAAGGTGTGATTTGGTGGCAGAGAGGGACAAGCCTGAGGTGCAGTGGCTGCATGTGCTGCATCCCAGCTGCTTCTGTCCAGCAGCATTTCCAGCAGGAAATTTCCAGTAAAGAGCAGCCCATGATGTGCTTTGCTGTCCCATGTCCACAGCTCATGGGGGCCAAAGCACTTTAGAGGAGGTGAGAATCTTCCCCAGAAGAGCAGTGGGATGTCTTGGAGATGAGGAGAGCACTCTGGGACAGGTGATAAACAGTGTTTGTATTTTTGTGTGACAAACTGAGCTCTTGGGTTGCTGATGCTGGCAGAATCTGTCACGATGCCTGTCTGTAGGGGACATTATTCCATGTGGTAATTAGCTTTATTCTCGTGGTGGATTTAGCTGGATAGACGAATTCCACCATTGTTACACTCCAGTGGATTGTTTGAATCCATCGCTATTCAACAAATGACCCCAACACACATTTCCCACAAGAGCTGGGAGCTCTCCCGTCCCCTTCCACCCTGCGGTGCTCCAGCTGTCCCGGTGCTTGGGAAGTGACGTGTCCCTGTCCATGATGTCCCCCAGGCAGTCTACAAGGCGTGGCTGTGCTCCGAGTACTTCAACGTGACCCAGCAGCAGTGCCGGCAGCGGATCCCATGCAAGCAATACTGCCTGGAGGTGCAGACCAGGTGCCCCTTCGTGTTACCGGACAATGATGAGCTGATCTATGGAGGTTTGCCTGGCTTCATCTGTACGGGTAAGGAGGGCCGGGCTCACACCGGGCACAGGGGCGGGGGTGATGGTGAGCCCTGGCGAATTTCCAAGCCTCTCCCTGGGTTTGGAAGGCTTGCCGGGGTGGAGTGGGAGGAGGGGCAGTGTGGTAACATTGCCTGATGCCGAAACGTGGCCATGCCAAGGGTCCGGGGGTAAGGGGTTAATGGGGGCACAGCAACCTCTCAGCCCAGGAGGTGAAAGTCCTACCTCTGACTGAGAGTTAAAGCATAGAGGGAGCTGCAGGTGATGGATTAAAGCAGGGTGGGGATATTGAACCACTGTGAGCAGGATTTGGGGAGCCCTGAGCTCGCCTTGCTGGTGTGTGCAGGCTCACACATGCTGGGGCCAGTGTCGGGGGGTGTCTGGATGTCCTGGTTCTCAGGTGTGCCCATCCCACAGCTGGTGGGCACCAGGGCTCGCTTCCTCCTCAGTGTCCCGCTGACCCCTCCTCTGCTCCCTTCCTCCCTGCAGGGCTGCTGGAGAACCAGCTGCCCGACGAGGAGGCCAAGTGCTGCGAGGTGCAATGGGACTCCTGCGAGCACCCCTCAGACAGCAACGAGGACACATCCCCCAAATCCACGGCGTCAGAGTCGCTCCATTTCCACCGCCACGACCCCCATCTCCATCACCAGAGGCAGAACCACTACCACCTCTACCACCACCACCACCACCACCAGTACCACCAGCCTCGCTCCCCGTCCTTGCTGCCGGTCTCCGCGGGGTCTCGCCTCGGCAGCAGCAGGATCAGACTGTGCGTGCTGGTCCTGATGCTCCTCCACACCATGGTGTCCTTCTCGAGCGTGCACGGCGGCGCCGGGGGGCTCGGCCTGGAGGCCCCGCCCGCCCTGGAGGAGAGCATGGCCCGGGACGAGTGACACAGAGGGCAGAGCCGACCTCCAAGGAGAACGCCAGATCTTTTCCCATAAGGGGGGCACACGCTATTCCTCCAATGGGAGGCACGGGGTTGGGGGTGGCACTCACGCACCCCCGCACATCCCCCAAGAGCTGCTCGCGCGGGGCATCCCCGTGGTGAAGAGTCTCTAACGCGCACAGGGCTGCGGGACCCGGCGCCAGAAGGGTTCGGGCAGGGCCAGCATTCCCGGCCCCGCAGGCGCCGGGAGGGCAGGAACGGCACGGAGGCGGGGGGACCGAGGGGAGGGGTCCCTGGGAATCGAAGGGTGTCCCCATGGGACTGCCGGGTGTCCCCCGGCCGCTGCCGCGAGTGCCTTGAGTGCCCGCGCCTCCCCCGCCCGCGCTGTGCCGAGGTTGGACGGTCAGCCCAGCCCTGGTTCCTTTTCTCCTGGGTGTGAATGCCGAGGGAGCAGGCGGAGGGGCAGCACCTCCCGGCACAGCCTGGCCCACTCCTGTCCCAGGGAAAAGCCGCCGGGGCTCGGGGCAAAGCCGCCCTGGTGAGCCGCCCTGTCCTCAGCGCGGCGCTGCCTCGCTGGTGGCGTTTGGGGACAGGAGTGGGACGCTGTGACACTGCACTGTGGTACCACTCGGGGTTGGTCTCACTGCATGCCAGCCTGCTCCTCCAGCCTGGCCTTTCCTGCTGCTCTATGCGAGGAGGAGGAGAGGGAGGAGGCCTGGAGCAGGAGGGATGTCCCCAGCATTCCCACATCCTACTTTGCAAAGTGTCCTGATGATTTGGTGTAACCTTTTTTGTTGTCCTCCCCGGCTGGTGGGACTGGTCTCAGTGAGGAGTTGGGAGATGTGACTCCAGCAGCACACAGGCTGTGAGGGAGAGGATCCCACGTGGCAGCAGTTGGATGCAGGGAATCCCAAAGGCATCCTTCCATGCTTCCCAGCTACAAATCATTGACTGGATGGCAGGAGGACTGGGCAAACGGGCTGGAGAAATCTGGCTTGGAGGGAGAGTCTCCCACACAAAGAGGCACTAATAAGGCCCAGCTAGGGAGGAGCATTTTTGTGAATAGTTTTCAATCCATGGATGCCCCCAGATCCGGAAATTTCTGGGAGCCCAGCTGGACTTGGCTGGGCAAGGTGCTGGCTGGTGTAGCCTCATTTGGCTTACTTGGGGTGGGTTTTTAACCTGATCTCAGCTTATCCAGGGATTCAGCCCCAAACAAACATCAGATCCCTAGGATCCGATCCCCAGGTCATTTCCTAGGAAACTCCCAATTCTCCACCCAGCCACCAGAGCTGTTCCCAGCATGGACACTGAGGTGGTGCCTCCAGGCCGGGCACCAGAGGCTGTAATTTGTCCTGGGTGTGGGCAGGGAAGGAAGAGAGGGTGTTTTAGCACAAGGTCACGAGCTGGGTGTGAGCCCACTCCCTGCTCCCAGAGGGGCTGGGATGGTCCCTCTGTTTCCAGGCTGGCTCTTGACAGGAACCTACAGCAGAGCCCTGCGTGGGTCACTGCAGGAGACAGGGATGGAGCAAGAAGAATGTCCTGCATCCCAAAGTGATCCCAGATCCCTGTGAGGGTGCAAGAAGTCCAAGAGTTGACAATCTGTAGGAGTTTTGTCGTTTCTGGTCTGTTGAGGTGAAGCAAAACCAAGCAGAGCCCCATGAGCAGAGCCCCATGAGCAAAGCTACTTCCTGCCTGGCTGGAAGAAGGAAGTACCAGGCATCTCGTGGGAAGCACAGGTTTCCTGACATTTCCAGCCCATTTCCAGACCAAAGAGGCTCTGAGAAGCAGCTGAATGTTTGATTCCTGCTTTGACTTGAATCTCAGAGCTTTGGGGTGATGTTTACACTCTACCAGTTGCCTGTTCCCAAAGTCCTGCAGAGACAAGGCCTGTGCTCCCGTTGTCCCATGGTTTTTGGGGTGGGAGAGGTGGTGCACATGGAAGATGGAGCGTGTTTCCCGAGCAGATTCCCTTGCTGCTACCACCCAAAAAGTGGGGTGTCTCTCGTTTGACTATTCCTCATGACATCCATATAGTTTACACCAATCAGAACAGCTGGACATGGAGCAGTTCTGCAAGCTGGGATCCAATCCCTTGGTTTTCTGTGAGCAGGGGGTTGTGGAGCTGCTCTGACAAGGAGCAAAAGCTCCCAGGCAGGCCAGGGGAGGGAGCACAGCCCTGTCCCTGCCTCCAGACAGCCGGATCCCGAAGGAAATTAGATTTCTCCTGCACTGCCAAGAGTTAAGCTAATTGCAGGCGCCTCTCTCGGAGATAGACTGTGTCCAATCTTGGAGCGACTCATCGGGAGGGAGAAGAATAGCCCAGTGTGGTGCGTCAGCAAGTGGCCCTGAGTCACTGGCCCTGTGCATTGTGTCATGTGTGACACTGAGCAGTGCTGGTGGGCACGGGGTGGCCTCGGTCCCTGCACACATCCAGATCCAGCACCTCCCTGAGGGATGTGTGTCCTTCTCCCTGCCCTGAAGCCCTTGTGTCCTGCTGGTGATGGAGCATCAGGCCAGGCCTGGGGGTAGTGATGGGTCATATGGGATTCCCAGAGGAGCTGTGGAAGTGTCCAAGGCCAGGTTGGACAGGGCTTGGAGCAACCTGGTCCAGTAGGAAGTGTCCCTGCTCATGGCAGAGGATGAACAGAATGGGCTTTAAGATCCCTTCAACCCAAACCATTCCATGATGCCATTATTTTCACAGAACTGCAGGAGTGAGATCCAACAACCCAAGTCATCTTGAGGGGATGCTGGCAGGGATTTGCTGGGATAACCTGGGAGCTGTGAGAAACAGTTTCACCTTCCCTAACACCTGCTGGAGGCTTCCCTCCTCAGGAGTGCGTGTTGGGTCTCAGTGAATTGGGAAGTGGAGCCAATTCAGAATTGGGCTGGTTTGGGTGGCTACTGGGGAGGTTTGAGCCCCATCCACCAAGAGTGAGGAGGCCCCCAGGACAGGAGATCCATGTGTTTTCCAGGCCACAGCTCCCAAGGGGTGTTCCCAAGAGGACAAGATGCCAGAGAGAGCACAGAGGATGCGAATCCTCTCTGGGAGCATGGGATGGACTTTACCTGCTGCAAGTAGGAGAAAAGTGCTGGGTATTCCCAGAGCAAGGCTGTAGAAGATCTTTTCTTTAGTGAGTCTGGGCTGCTGTCAATAAGTTCTGTGGTTTTAGGGCACCATATGCTGCATTCAACACTTTGCCAATCTGTTTAAATGGATCCAGACGAGGCTGTTCCCAGAGCAGGAGCAGCTGGAAGTGGTGTATGGAGCAGTCCATCATCAGGAGCCCATTGGATAAAATTCCTGCTTTTGGTCTGACATTACAACCTCCTAATCCTCCATCCCTGAGTACTCTGTCTTTGCTCTCTGAAAGAACAGCCCAGGAAGCAGACGGTGACATTGTCTCACTTAACACCACTGCCATTATTTTTATTACGAAGTGGAGGGAATGGGCCTGCAAAAGGAAGGAGTGTGCTTGTATAAAGAAGGAATGTGCCTGGATAAGGAGGGGAAGGGCTTCCTACCCTGTGTGTGCGTCCAGGGATGCTTCACCCCAAGCCCTGTGTCCACCATTGCCCTTTGCAATCCCAAATGCTTTCCACATTCCCAAAGCCACCTTGGAAAACATGAGCTCTAAATGATTTATCCTACCAGGAACTTAAACCCAAGAGGCTTTGTCCTTTTCATCCAATGATTTTATCTCTTCTCCCTAAAGAAGATGCCCCATGTTGGGATTTATAAGTAAAACTCAACTTTTCCTTCAGTAGACAAACTTCTCTTTGCTCAGAGAAAATTCCCAGTGGGAAGCAGTGATTCCTCCCTGGTGAAGGGGTTTCTCATCCCCAGGGAAGTGAGGGATGATGATGTCTCCACAAACTCCAGGTGTGGGCAGAGAGAAGGAGCAAAAGGAGTCGGGTCCAGCATTATTCCCGGGTTTTGCACTTTCATGTAGCTGCCAGTTGTACAAATTAATTAAAAATAACTGAAGAAAAATCCCAAAGAAAGGCCCCGCTTCCTCTGGGGAACATTAATCATTAGCTGAGTCTTTTTCTTATGAAAATACAGATCCATGGTAGCCCCAGGCAGAAGATTCCCAGGGAGAGCCCTCACCATTCGTGCTCAGAGTTAGGGAAATCGCTTTGAAAGCATCTGACAACTAAAGCAGAACATGTTGAGTAACTTGGCAACACTGGGAAAACATCTGGAACTGGTTTATCTTCAACACATTTTGCTTTGCTTCAAGAGGAGATGTCAGGGTAGTTCATTCACTGCCACTCAGGGCCGCGGGCGGGGCCGGGAGACGCTCGGCTGCCGCCTGGAGGAAGGGGATAAAGGGAAAATCCCAAAATCCCAGATATCTGCTGCTCCTGGGCAGGACACTGGGAGGCCAGGCCATGGAGTGTCCCTGTGCTGAGCTCTGCAGGTGCCTCCTGGTCTCTGATGGCACCAAGCGTGGTGGTTTGGGATGGTTTGTTGAGGTTGCCTGGAAACGCTGTGGATGCCCCATCCCTGGGGATGTCCAAGGCCAGATTGGATGGGACTTGGAGCAGCCTGGGATAGTGGAAGGTGTCCCTTCATGGCATGGGGTGGAACCTGCATGATCTTGAAAATCTCTTCCAACCCAAACCCCTCTGGGATTCCATGATTTTCACAGAGCCAAAGGGGGTGAAGTCCCATAATCCAGGTTACCCTCAGCTTGTGATTCATCCTAATCCCATTCCTGCTGCTGTCTGGGAAAGGAATGCCCCTAGGGCTTGGTGGAGACAATGTCAGGACAGAAACACTCCTGGATTCTGCCAGAAAGTGATGGGGCAGTGTACTAGTTTGAAAGCAAACCAGCAGGAGATTCCAAGTCGCAACTACAATTTAATAGGAAAATAAAGTAAAGGCAGTAGTACAGAAGCACTGTCTTAGACTGA